GGGAAGCCTGCTTCTCCCTCTCCCACTCCCCCTGCCTGTGTTCCTGCTCTCGCTCTCTCTCTCTCTGTCAAATAAACAAATAAAATCTTTAAAAAAAAAAAAGTTCAATATCAAAAATGTCAATTGTCTTCAAATTCAAAAATATTCCAATCAAACAGAACAGTAGGGTTATTCATGAAACTTGACATGCTATTTCTAGAATATATATAGAAAAAGAAAAAAATAAATAACATGATTTTTTTGTTTAAAGGAAGTCTAGGGAAGAGAAATGAAGATTGGGGACCTCATGCTACTAGTTCTTAGGACATAATAGAGATTACAGTTATTAAGATAGTTAGAGATCAATCAAACAGACCAGGAGGCCAGGCACAGACCCATGCATATGTGGATATTTAATTTGCTAGAGGGAGATACTGCCAAGGGGAGAGGGAAGGACAGAAATAATCCATTTTTCAAAAAATGGTGCTGGGACAATTAGCAATCCCTGTGAGAAAAAAGAAAACAAAACTGGATTTCAATTTTATACCACAAGAAAAGAATCATTTCCAAATAGAGCAACTTCAAAACTTTTGTTAAGACAATACAGAAAAATATCTTTATGTCCTCAACCTTTAAGGAAGGATTTTTCAAACAAAAAAAACAGAAACAATAAAGAAAACTATTGATAATTTTTACTTCTGTTCCTCAAAATACAGCAGAAACAAAAGAAATAGCACTGATCGGGGCGCGCCTGGGTGGTGCAGTTGGTTAAGCGTCTGCCTTCAGCTGGGGTCGTGATCCCAGGGTCCTGGGATCGAGCCCCGCGTCGGGCTCCCTGCTCAGAGGAGAGCCTGCTTCTCCCTCTCCCAATGCCTGCCGCTCTGCCTATCTGTGCTCTCTCTCTGTCAAATAAATAAATAAAATCTTTAAAAAAAAAAAAAAGAAAGAAAGAAATACCACTGATCAAGAGGAAAAAAAAAAACAAAACCTGTCATTACAATGAGCAAAGGATAAGACTAGTCTGGCAATCTAAATGAGAGGCAATCTCAATTATCACAAAAGAAAAAAGATGAAAGGCATTCAGCCTCACTGGAAATTCAAATTAAAATCTCAATGCATTATAATTTCATTGTTAAAAGATTGGCAAAAAATAAAAGGTCTGACAATATCAAGTATCAACAAAAACGTGAAGTTAAAGGAACTCCCAGGTAATGCTGATGGAAATGTAATTTGGTTGTACCAAATCTTTGTATCAAGTTTTGGACAAAACTTGATGATATCTGATAAAATGAAATGATGAGCGTAATCCTGGCACCCAGCAATGCCTCTCCCAATCTCTACCACTGAGCATTGTTTGACAAATACAGGTTGCGACCAACTTTTCAGTGGTCAAGAAATCAATTCAATAGGTTGAGACCAATATTTTTGATAGAAGAGCAAGGGTAGGTATAGCTTCATGAAATGCTTGCTTCTATTATTTATAACATACCCATATAAGCATTTAATAACTAGGTATTTAATAACTGGGTTTTAATGTAAATTTTATTTATTATCATAGATTATGGTCTGAAAGCCACTGTCCTAGAGAAACTGTTATACATATCCACCATAAGACATGTACAAAAATGTTATTTGTGACACTTTTTAATAATAAAAAATTGGAAACACTACTGTCCATAAGTAGAAGAATAGTTCATTACCATCATACAATGGAATGCTATATAACAATGAAAATTAGTGAACCAGAGCTACAGATAACAACACAGACAAATCTCAAAGCATGTTAATAAAAGCAACTTATAGAAAATATGTACAGTATGATGAACATTTAAAAGCATACAAAAAAATTACTTGATATTGTTTAGGAAAGGGCACATACATATATGGAAAAGGAAACAGACATGCATGGGAATTAACACCATACTCAGAATTGTGCTTACCTCTGCAAAGGAGGGAGGGAATGTGATGGGGGAGGGTTACGCATTAGGCCTTAACTATATCTGAAGGGTTTTTATTTATTAAGTTGATTGGTAGATAGACACACATGTTGGTAATATTATTTCTCTTCTTTTCAGAATGTCTGAAATGTTTCACAACTGTTTAAAAGGGAAAGCTACCATATAAACAAAAAAGGCATTTGGTTTGAAATTTATAACATCTCCCAGAAAAAGATCAGTGACTTTAAACTACAATAAACAAACACACAAAAACTTTTCTACATCAAAAAAATCAGAGAAGTTTTCATATAAGATAGTGAAGTCGGTAATGCATTTGTTTCATCTCTTCTACAAGATTCGATGGGCAAAGCAATAAAAATACACAAAATGAGTAAATCCATGGAAATGCTAAAAACGAGAGTCCTTGTTAAGAGACGCACATTTTTGATGAATTTCTGGAAGCGGGAAAGCAGACAGCTCCAAACTGGCAAGAGACATGCTGCACCACAGCCACAGCAATCCTCTCTGACCGAATGCCACTTTACACTGCGCTCACGCTCAGTACACGCAGACAGCAGAAGTGGACAGTGGTTAACTGTGGCTAATCAGATGTGTAATTAAAGGTCTGTCTACTCGACTGCCATTACCGGAGCAGCAAAAAACCCACCTCAGCCTCAGCCCACTTCCGCCCCTGCCACGCACACACACAGGCCTTGTACAGAGCAGCTCACTGCAGAAACCCTCAGCTGGAGCCTCAGGCTCTGTTCTCTCAACAAAACAAGAGTATCTGTCAAGGAAAGACGGAGAGTGTGGGTGTCTTATCCATGGAGACGGTTAATAACTGCTACGTTAGAACCAGAGGTGGAAAAGGAATGGCAGTTTCACTCCGCCCAGAAGACAGTAAAGTCCTTTTTTTTTTTAAATTTTATTATGTTGTTAATCACCATACATAACATCATTAGTTTTTGATGTAGTGATCCATGATTCATTGTTTGCGTAGTAAAGTCCTTTTATCCCTCATATAGTCATTCTCTTATTTTGGCAATTACAGAGTGAACCTCCCTTTTCCCTTCCACTCACTCTAAAGGGAAGCCTGCCAATGTGTGGAATTCGACAACTTACACAAATCCAGTGGTCATTCTAGGGAGAGATCTTAGAGTTAAAAAGACCTATTCAGCTGCATAGGAGACCCAGTCACTACTTAACACAGTCCTTCATTTAAGGAATACCAGCCACTGAGGAAAATCAAAACCATGAAAGAAAAAAAAAAAAAAGCAAAAGAATAAGTGTGATAACTGACCCTAGAGGAAAGAAGAGACACTGAAGAAAAAAAAAATGAATCCTCAGATTTAAAAGTCTCTTGGCTGTTTTAGGAAAGGATGCTTTGAAAAGAAACAAAAGTTGGATCCAGTCTTATATATATCCTTACATGTATATTCAAATTTCCTATAAATTAATATGCATGATACTTATTATCATGATGATACCATATGCATCATACTTATTAAATCTTTTTAACTTTTAGAAGTTAATACAATTTCCTTTTCCATAGATGTTGGCTGCTGCCTAAGCTATAACAGTAATGATCAGACATAATACTCACTGGGAAATTCAGTAAGCAATTTCTTGGATACACATTATGTACTTTCCAAATAAAAGAATACAGACAGGAATATGTGAAAGTCAATAGATTTCTGTGTCTCACTCTACCAAGGCTTTTTGGATTCTTACCATACCCAATGTCCTGAGGACAGATCAAGTCCTGCCTGAGCAGTTCCTAGACACTCACCAATGTAACAGATTAACTCAATCTGGATGTCTTTTAAAATAAACAAGCCATTTCCAATATTTAAATCCAATCTGGGGAGGGCCTGACAGAATTTAGGGGCTCTGGAATAAATCCATGTCTTGGAAAAAGGTTCTGAAATTATCCCAACCTCCTAGAAGATGTGAGCATTACTGAGCTCTGATTTTCTGGGAAAACTTCAAAATGAAACCAATCTGTACAATGAGGCCTAGAGATAAGGCATCATCTGTCCCTCAACCTTTCCAGTGTACCATTTATATTACACTTAATTATTTACTAAGGAACTCAATGTCTCAAAAAAGTTAAGAGTTAGATTGTGCCTTTAAAAGTACTTGAATGATATCCAGAGAGAACCTAGTATTTTTCTATTTCATGTAAAGAAAGGAAGCTTGTTAAAAAAAACACAAATGTTTATATATAACATTAGAAGTCTTCTTAGCCTGTATCACATCATACAGTCAAAAGTCCTATTTCTAGTGCTCCTCACATGTGCACAAGTACAAAATACCTGAGCATCAGGCTGTTATTTCATGGCTGAACTTGAGTAAAGCTATAAATCTAACAAAGTTCATCTTCAGAGTTCCAGAGTCGCCTTCCTGTAGTTTTGCCCCCACAGTGCGAACTTGTTCCCTCCTGCTCACATGCCAGTTCTTGACCACCTTACTGTCTCTCTTCAGATTCAACAAGCTAAAAGTATCCTAGAAATAATCTAGCCCAAGGCCCTCACTTTATAGAAAAGTAAACCAACGCTTATAGAGTTAACGATTTACCCAAGGTCACACAGCTAATGAGAGATGAAGCTGTGACCAAAACGAGGTCTCTGATGCCCTATGCAATGCTTTTTCCACTATACCAGCCTGCCTCTTTCAACACTGCAAAGGAAATTATATTTATCCATGTCTTCACAGCCCTCAGCCTCTCCTCTCTGAGCCTTTTCCCTTCTGGTACAACAATTTATCAACTTTAAGTCACCAATAACCTTTTTTCTTATTAATTATATTCCCATGATAAAACAGGAAAGAATTCACTACTCATTTATATTAGCTGATTCATTTATTGATAATATTTGTTTCTAATTTTACATTTATCTTTTAAAATGAAAAACACCTTAACACTTCCCAAATCAAAATACAAAGCTTAATAATTATATCCACAATTAAATTCAGAAAAGAAATGTTACCGTAGATTCTTACTTTGCATAAAGCAATGCCATAACATTTATTTCATTTCCTTAAGAAAAGGCAGAAATCACATATCGATTCCATTTTAATACTCACCACAAAAGTGATCTGATTGTGTCGCAGGTTAAGTTCAGTTAGTGAATCCAGCCCATTAAGATTATCAACGTGACTTAAAAGGTTCCTAGCAAGATTTAAAACTCTCAAATCACACAAATGACTGACATTTTCGATTTTGGTAATCTGTTAAAACATGAGAAAGGGATAATTAGCAGGCACAAGTCACAGATATACATGTTATAAAAACTCTAAAAATAAAATATATAGTCACTGGATTCACTGACAGGTTTACATGAAGATACTTAAAAATGTATTTCCAGGGGCGCCTGGGTGGCTCAGTGGGTTAAGCATCTGCCTTTGACCCAGGTCATGATCCTGGAGTCCCAGGATCGAGCCCCACATTGGGCTCCCTGTTCAGTGGGGAGTCTGCTTCTCCCTCTGGCCCTCACCCCGCTCTCATGCTCTCTCTCAAATAAATAAATAAAAATCTTTAAAATATATATATTTCCAATTTCCTCTTTGTAGATAATAAGAAGTCATTTAACTTGTGAAAATTAACTAAAGGAAGGGCACCTGGGTGGCTCAGTCAGTTGGGTATCTGCCTTTGGCTCAGGTCATGATCCCAGCGTCCTGGGATCGAGTCCCGCGTCAGGCTCCCTACTTGGCGGGGAGTCTGCTTCTCCCTTTCTCACTCCCCCTGTTTGTGCTTTTTCTCTTTCTCTGTCAAATAAATAAATAAAGGAAGGGAGCAAGATGGCGGAGAAGTAGGAGACCTGGATTTCGTCTGGTCTCAGGAATTCAGCTGAATAGGGATCAAATCATTCTGAACACCTACGAACTCAAGAGGAGATCAAAGAAAAGAATAGCAACAACTCTCTGAACAGAAAAGCGACCACCTTCTGGAAGGTAGGACGTGCAGAGAAGTGAATCCCAGGCGATATTCAGGAGGACAGACGGCGGGGGAGGGGGCCTCCATCGGCCGCTTCTGGCAAGTGATAGAGCCGCGGAGCACAAAATCGGAACTTTTAGAAGTCGGCTCCGCTGAGGGACGTCGCTCCAGTGGCTAAGCGGGGGGTGGAACCCTCACGGGACAGTGTGGTCTCAGGATCCTCGGGGTCACAGAAAGACCGGGGGTGCCTGAGTGCAGCAGAGCTCCCGGGTATCGGAGTGGGGAAGCCGGCTCCAGAGATGGAGCCGAGGTGCAGGCTCTCAGCTCGGGGTTGCCATAAACTGTGATCCGCGGCACAGTCGGGCCACTGCTCCTCCAGCAGGGACCCAACAAGCGGCAGAGCTAGGGAGACTCCCCTTCCTCCCCCGGGAGGAGCGGCGCGGGAGCGCACTGCAGGGATCTGCTGGGTTTGGAGACTCCACACGGGGTCAGGTGCCAGAGATAGAAACACTCAGTCACAGGCCGGGTGAGCACGGAGTGCGGCCGGAGACCAGGGAGACGGGAGTGACTGCTTTTCTCTGGGGGCGCACTGAGGAGCGGGGCCCCGAGTTCTCAGCTCATCCGAGTGGAGATTGGGAGGCCATCATTTTCACTCACATCCTCCAAAGCTGTACGGAAAGCTTGCAGGGAACAAAAGCACCTGAGAGCAAACCCGAGCAGCTTGCTTACCCGGACTCACAAGGGCGGGGCAATTCCGCCTCCAGCAAAGACATTTGGGAACCACAGCAACAGGCCTCTCCCCCAGAAGATCAGCACGAACAGCCAACCAAGACCAAGTTTACCAGTCAATGAGAACGGCAGAACTCCAGCACTAGGGCAATAGTGCACATAGAATTCATGGCTTTTTTACCATGATTCATTAGTCTTTCAAAGTTAAATTTTTTTAACTGTCTTTTTTTTTAAATTTTTCTCTTTCCCTTTTTCAACCAACATCTTATCAATCCCTTTTTAAAAAAAAAATTTTTATTTTTCATTTTTAGAGTCATATTCTATCCCTTCATAGTAGTTACCCTTATTTTTGGCATATATATATTTAAGTTGTTCTCTCTTTAAAATTTTGAGAAACAGTTTCTTCTAACATATCAAAATATACCCTAAAGCTCTAGTGTATGGCTTTGTTCTAGTCTCCTGCCTGATCACATTCTCTCCCCTTTTTTTTCTTTCTTTCTTTTTTAATCCTCTTCTTTCTTTTTTCAAACACCTTATCAATTCCTTTTTTAAAATTCTTTATAATTTTCATCTTTACAGTCATATCCCATCCCTTCATCATATCAACCCTTATTTTGAACATATTTAGGTCTTTCTTTCTTTAAAATTTTAGGAGGCACTTTCTTCTAACAGACCAAAATATGCCCAAAATCTAGTGTGTGGCACTGACTATGCACCAGCCTGATCATAGTCTGTTTTTTTTGTTTTGTTCTGTTTTTGTTTGTTTATATCTTTTTCTTTTTTTTCTCTTTCTTTTTTTCGTTCTTTCCCTTTCTTTTCCCCTGGTTTCAGGTCTT